GAAGATAATACAGCTGGGATGATGGGCCAAGGGAAGAAGGGACATGCAGCCGAGCCTGGTATTGTAGGCGACATTGAACATTAGGCCAGAAATTGTAACCCATACTATACAGACTGTAAAAAGTCTAATAATTGTCTGTTTGATATAAATAAAAGTGCTATATATAACTTAGTGTCGTGAGAGGGCGGTAGAACTCATCAATTAGCCAGAAGCATCCTTTAAGGTCAGCGAAAATGTCCGGCAAGCACGAGTTCTGCCCAGGAGAGAAGCGGATGATTGTGAACAGCTACGAGTACTTCAAAAGCCAGAAGGAACAAGGCCTCTTCAAAGGCATCATGACACGCCAACTGGTCTCTGATTGCCTTGGTTGTGCTCCCAACACCGTTGACTCCGTGGTTAATGAGAAAAAGAATAACCCAGACACTGATTTTGAGGTATATCAATTATAACGGATATTGTAACACTTCCTTTTTAAACTAATATTTGTACAAAGCCCAGTGAAAATGACAGAGGTCGAAAGCGAGATTATGACCTGACGGATACCTTTATAATATTGTTCACCATCCTGCTGGCAGAATTGAATGTTAAATCGACAAGGGCAATCTGCGACCGGGCGATGTGTCATCTTCCTTTTTGACATATGATTTTGATTCTAGACCAATCATATCTGTGTATTTGGCGCGCCTTTCCCCCGAAAATGACAGTGTTCTGAGAGGGCATTTTTAAATGACTGTAGCTCCAAAACGGCTGGGAATTGGCTAAAAATTACCGCAAAATCGAAATCTAAACGCATGATTGCACCCTATATCTAAATGTCGATATAGGTTTTCCTAAACGTAGACCTCTTATGCCTCTCTAGATTCTGGCCCAATGTTCAATGTCGCCTACAATAAGAAATTTAGCAGATGAAAGACATAGAAGGTAGAAATCCAGGCAGGTATAGGCTTAAATATCAATACAGACTCCAATTTGCACAGTGACACGTAAGTGCCTTCCTGCCCTCAAGAACCGGAACTACATTGGCCGTACGAGCTCCGAGAAGGTTGAGAATTGCGAATCTAGTGCTGGTAGTGATAACTGGATAATACATTGGCCAGATCCTACAACCTAGTGAGCTTTTCCTTTACTTGTGCAGATCCGACAGGCTAACCGAATTTACTACTTGGTCGGTTACACCCTAGGGGCTCTCAACTTTCAAGATCCCGTCACAGGAGGCGGCAAGTACGACGCAAAGGAACTACAAAGACAAGGGAACACACCCCCAAGGCAACCCTACAGCCAGATCCACGATCTAGGCCCCGGATCCATAAGCTCGAATATTCGCTTAGGATACGGAACCATCCACGGACGCAGAGTGAAGATTTCCCACTGCTGCTCCACCCCATCCCCACGTCTCGCCTAGACGCTCAAGCTTCACCACTTGAACTCTTCGGAAGTTACCGAGAGAGCAAGATCCCGCCCTACCGACGGGTACACAAGGTGAGGAAAGTTCAGCAGAACACGGATCATCGGGGGACCCCCTCCGTTAGTCGGTGTCTGGGTGCAGTTGGTCGGCTGGATCCGGCAATCTCGCAGATTTTGCTGATCCCGCTACACCACAGTAGTTCGCGCAGTAGACTGAAGCGTAATGGTCTCGCGGACAAGCAGGAAGTCTGAGGAGCTCGACTTGCTTGGAAAGACAGCAAAAGCTAGAATGAATTCATTGTTAAATCTTTCCTCTCCGCGTAGGCTTTCATACGCAACGTGCCATGCACGAGGAAGAAAACAGTTGGACATGCATAGCACCATCAACAGCCAAACCTTCCGTTGAGCTCACGCGTCCCTGCTAACTGGCACGTGGCTCATCTTGTCTCCAATATGCCTGGTCTCAGCTTGAATGACAGTGCTGCACTGCAAACTTGCAGCGCACGCTGGTCCTGCAGCTTCCGGTTACTCCCTTCTCATTCATGCTGGGCCTCATCCTGGGCATCAACGTTTTCGACGTTTATCTTTTGGCGGAGACACTAGAACCGTTGTGGTCCCAACGCCTTCGTGAAGATGTCTGCGATGTTCTCTTCGCTCGAGATATACTGCACCGCGACCTTCTGTTTCTCCACGAACTCGGCGATTTTCCGACTTATCTTGGCAAATCTCTTCATACGCTGGTAGTTAGCAGGATCCGTGAGCGTGCTTTGATTGTCCATGTAGAGCGTTGAGCACGGTAGCTTGTCACCCCGAATTTCTTTCAGCAACACGGGAGCCCACATCAAGTCTTCCAGGCACATACTCGCCGCGAGCAGCTCCGAGCTGCACGTTTCCGTGGTCATTTTTACTCTGTTGCTTGCTCTTGTACATAAACATACATCCGTTCAACCGCCGAATGTAGCCCGTAATGAATCGACTCGTATCCGGACAATTGACATGACCGGCATCGCAGTAAGCATCAATTGCCAGTGGCAGCACGTCCGCTTGACGTCTGTACACCAAGCCGTAGGTTCGCGTAGCCTGTAGGTAACGCTGTACGCGCTTCGCGCACTCGTACTTCTCCTTTGTGTACGAGCTGCTGTACCGAGACAACGTGTGCACTACGTTAGCCTGGTCCGACCGCGTGCATGCCACTAGATACTGCCAAGCAGCCACCAGCTCACGGAACGAAAACTTTGGATCATTGGTCCTGTCCTCATCTTTCTCGATCGGCGGTATCCTCTCGTTCTGCTTCTGTGGGGAAGCTGCTGACCGCGCCTCACTCATACCAAAACGTTCGAGCACCCGGTCAATGTATACAGTCTGCGAGATGCAGAGCAACTCACCCGGCACGTAGATGACCTCCATGGCCAACAAGTGCTTTACATGACCAAGGTTCTTTAGTGCGAACTTTTCGCTCAACTCACCGATCACATGCTCAATGTCCTCTTTTGATCCAGCGATCAACAAGTCATCAACGTATACCGTAACGTACACGCCACGGTCGTCGTGCCACCGCTGGTACAAGCCCACGTCAAGCGTGCACTGCTTGAAACCAATCTGCTCCAAGTACTCGTGCAATGTCTGGTACGATAAGCGCGAAGCTTGTTTCCAGCCGTAGAGTTCTTTCAGTAACTCACATACACGACCGCTCCCGTCATCGAAGTATGCGGGCTGCTCCATGTATATTTTCACTCCTTTCAGCACACCATTGAGGAAAGCAGTAACGAAGACAACATGGTAGCACTCATAAACTAGTAGAAAGGCCAGGATCAATAGCATCCACACAGTCTCAATTCGAACGACAGGAGAGTACGTGTCCAAGTAATCAACTCCGTACTTCTGTCCGCAGCCTTTCACTGCTAAACGAGCCTTGAGTCTGTCCACAAGCCCCTTTTCGTTGAGCTTGGCTCTCATCACCCACGTGGTCTTCACAATGTTGCACGAGCTTTTCGGTCTATCGACCAGTCTCCAGGTAACGTTCACTTTGTGTGCCTCCATCTCGGGTCCCATCGCTTGGATCCACTTCTCACGTTGGGGGGACGCTAGAGCTTCTTCAACAGAAGTGGGGTTGCCTGCGAAGGTCTCCAGTGCTTCCAAGGAAGTCATCACAAAGTCTTTCAGCCGCACATTTTCCTTTTGGATGCGCTCTGAACGTCGTCATCCACGCTGGCGCTTCGAGCTGCGCCGCGGTTGAGATCCATTAGAGGAGTCCGGGTTGCGTTCCGACCAAGGTCGAAGTTGATCCGCCGTTGGCATAGCGTCACCAACAGCATCGTTCTCTCCTGACTCTTTGCCATCCGATGCACTTACCGCTCCCACCGAACCTGCAGCCTCTGCTGCTAAGTCACTCTGCTCGGTGTTAGTTTGCCCAACCGGCTGATCATCTACACGTGCAGCTTCGTCAACAGCCTCTTGCACTGCTTCACGAGCTCTGGTCCATACGGCTTCGTCGGCAACGTACTCCGCTGGAAGTGGAACAAATGGAATTTGCGGGAAATAGTGCTGTCGGCCCTTCAACAGCGCGTTCTTGTACGTGCGCTCAACCGTTACGTCCTCACGGAACTTGACGTCACGGGCTTCAATCAATTTCTCACTTCGCCGATGAAGCGGTCGGTTGCTATGACCCGTCCTCGGAAAACCGAGAAACAGTTCCGGCTCAGCCTTCGCTGAAAGTTTGTTCTTCCTGGTCTTAGTTGGAACGAACACATATCTCACACAGCGGCATACCTTTAGTTGCGCGACGTCATGTTTCAATCCTGACAGCTTGTCAGTCGGGGTTAACCCTTGCGAAGCCTTTGTCGGGCTCAGGCTGTCTACCTCCACCGCATAGCGCAGAACCTCCGGCCACAATATCATCGGCAGGTTGGTGGTGTGCATGACAGCACGCATCTTGTTTGCGAGAACAGCATTAAGCTTTGTGACCAAGCAGTTTTCTTCCGGTGTGTACGGATGAGTGGGGACTAAGGTGATTCCCTTTCTCTTCAGGAACCCCGTCAGATCATTGTTCACGTATTCCCCCTTCCCTCCGCCACTCGTGAACGTTCTGATTCTGTTGCCTGGAGCCAGAAGCTCAGTCATCAACCGTTGCATGTTGCCAGAAACCTCGCTCTTGTGAACGAGCGGGTAGCACCACTTGTTTCGCGAGCCCTCATCATGAATGAGCTTGAAGTACCGCACTGCACCAATTCCTGGTCCGTACTTCCCCATATCACACACGTCCGAAGTCAACCGCTCAAAGTTTTCAACAGTTCTTTTATCTGTGGTATCACCATACGACATGCGTTTTCGCTTTGTCGACATGCAGCTAATACACCTTAGCTTGGTCTTCAGCTGCTCGGCAGGAATGTCCAAGCCTCTCATCACGTCGTTCTTCACCATGAGCTTCAGAGCTGCCTCATTGAGGTGAGCCAGACGTTCGTGCCACTTCGTCAATGGACTGGCATCCGCATTTACAGTCGCCATGATCACGGCACTGTTGTCGCCAAAGCTATTATAGTGTAGCCAATAGTGAGTCCCGTGATAAAAGAACTCCAACTAGACTACATTATGAGTCATCATAGCTTCTTCGGCAGCACACCAGGCGCACTGGTCGACAGCTCCCAGTCGTTGCTCACCATCAGTTCATTGCTGAGCAAATTCACAGGTCCAGTGAGCGAATACTCCACTTTATCCAGCTCCAGCGTGGTTTCACCACCTCTCAGCGCGTTCAATGCCTTCAGCAGCACCTTACCGCACATTTCATTGTGCGTGATGCCGCCGTTCCAGACTTGAAACGAAGCCTTGGACTTCTTCATGCTGGTGATTTTTTTCTTTTTGGTTGCACACATGCATAGACGTTCCTGAGTCCAGCAGCCAATCGCCGCTAAACTCCTGTCTTTCAGCTTTGAGTGCCATACCCACAAGTGAAAGTTCGTCTTCAGAACTGCTGCTGCTACTGCTACTGGCATCATTACAACCAGCATCCGCAGTGAGCCGCATGTAGCCCATTGCACCCGCTGGGTTGTTGCCCGACCCCAAATAATTACCTCCACCGTTGTTGTTTGGTTTCTTCGTCTCAGTGGCCTTGCCTTTGCCAGATTGGGCTTTGCTTTGCTTGTTCTTGTAGTGCCAACAGTCTTTCCGCATGTGACCAACTTTCTGGCAATGGTAGCAGCGAGTGGCACGTCGTTTACCTTCACCGGTGATCTGCATCTGCCCTCGAGGACCAGGGCCGGGGCTTGGACCTGGGTTCGTCCTAGGATACTGCCCGTTAGGCTTCCCCATATGCATCGCCACCTGCGGGCCGCCATTGTTTGCTCCACAGTTCACGGCCGTATCCGCCGCCATCTTGTCCATATCATCGCGCGACAGCAGCGCGTTCTTCACTCGAAGCAACGATGGTGGGTTACCTTATCGGTATGAGAAGTCAAACTGGGTCACTATCTCGCGATGAACCACACACACTCCCATCAGCATCAACTGAGACATAGACGTATCGTCTGTCAGGAAGCTGGGCCCCATGTGCTGCAAGCGCTGCCGCAGCGTGTTCTTCTCTTGAATGTATTCCGGCAACTTTTGGCCCGGGGCGTACGAGTGCGTGTACAGCTCAAGCTTCAAGCGCACTGCATACGAGAAGTCTCGCTGGGTTTTCTCCGCAGTCAATGTGTACACATCTCCTTAGCCGTGCTGCAAATGCACACGTTTTAATCATCAGCACCTTTTACGCCTCGGATTATAGTCTCCATGGCCAGTCGATTTCGATCGTCGAGCTGGCACTGCAACACCGGATCAAATGCATGACGCGTTTCTTCACCGGTCGCCACACCCCATGAGTCTCGCTGCTCAAGATAGAGCTTCAGACCCATCTGGTATACCTCGAAGGTATCGTTGAGCTTCGGTGGCTTGCTGCTGCCAACTTAGGCACTACGGGAACTGCCGGTTGCTGCACACCAAGTTGTTCTGGTGGCGCTCCAGCCGGCCCCACTGTTCCAACCAGTGGCACTCCAACTTGACTTGCATCAGCCAGCGTAACAGCAGGTTGTCCTACCGAGACTACCGCTGTTTGCTTCTGGGTCGTCGGTGTCGCACTAGTCATCGTACTCGTCATACTTGCATTGACGCTCGTCGTAGATGCTTTACTTTCACTTATGACGCTGCCCACAAACCAGTCTTGGGCTCATAAACTAGCAGATAGTTTACCAGTAGTTCGCGCAGTAGACTGAAGCGTAATGGTCTCGCGGACAAGCAAGAAGTCTGAGGAACTCGACTTGCTTGGAAAGACAGCAAAAGCTAGAATGAATTCATTGTTAAATCTTTCTTCTCTGCGTAGGCTTTCATACGCAACGTGTCATGCACGAGGAAGAAAACAGTTGGACATGCATAGCACCATCAACAGTCAAACCTTCCGTTGAGCTCACGCGTCCCTGCTAACTGGCACGTGGCTCATCTTGTCTCCAATATGCCTGGTCTCAGCTTGAATGACAGTGCTGCACTGCAACCTTGCAGCGCTCGCTGCTCGTGCAGCTTCCTGTTAGGGACCAGTTCCACTGTTGCTTGTCCGTCTTCTTGACAGCAACTACAGTAGCCTTTTCGGGAGGCAGCTGTCTAGCTGCACTGTTTTTTTCGAGCACTGTTGTTGCTGAGACTTCGGTTTCGAGGCCGATTGATAAATCTGTGTCGGAGTATCCGTCGTGTGTTCGTAGCATTCAGCTCACGATCACACTTGTTGTAGCTGTGCTCACCTTATCCGGCGGTGTCAACCTCACTTGCACCGACCTCGACTAATTCATGCTATCGGTCGAACCGCGGGCTTGATGACAACGACCTCATCAACATGTTAATGAAGATGGGATCTCGCACGTCGGCGTTCAGCGCTGCAAGCTGCGCCTTAACTAGGAACACGCCGCTCACGTGCTAACACACATCCCATCCAGGTTTGCACTTAGCAGTCTCAAGTTTGTTGAACAGAATGATGTCCTGGTTGGTACGTGTGGTGGCATTGGTCTTGCCCTAGTTCGTTTCTTCCAGACACTTCCATATCTTTGTTCCGTCCGTCTTGATCATTATTTGTTGTCATGATGATATGCTCGACCTTCATCTGAGCGTCATTGAACTTTTTCTTGTCTGCATCGTTCGCACCAGATGTCAAGGTCACGTCTCATTTTGCGTACCCGTGAGCTTCCTTTTCCGCGGACGAGAACTCCATCCTTCTCTTGTAGTACGTCCAGCACTGACCTTGCTAGTTCCAGGGGGTCCGTTCTTGTTGAGTTCGACTTTAGTTGCCATTGTGGAAGCTTGTACTTGCCCTTTCCGGCTTGGGCTCATAACCCTGTTACGCAGCGACGTTCAGGTCCGTAGCGCATCTCGAGAGATTTGTAAAGCTAAGAACCGAGTTGTCGTATACCTTATCCTTCAAGGGTCGGGTAGTCCGCGGCTGTTCAGGGAGTACGGTCTTGTTCCATGGCCGAAACGGTGGATAGGAGCACTTAAAAGAATATAAGCTTGTTTATTGACTTGGCTTCCTCTTGAGTAGAAGGAGAGAAATATAAGACTGAGAGCTAACTGGAAGGGAGGTCTAACACCTTTCCTTCCTCATATACAATACACCACCACTCTTACACTTGAACGAAGAGTTCACTTCACCTGTCGTCCGTCCGTGCGGGACAACAGGGAGCTCTGGGAAGGGACTCGATGACGCTAGGTGTCTTGGTCCCACGATGCCTGAGAATCAGCGCTCTTGGACCACCTTATAGAACCACTCTAACGGGCTCGGCCTGGGGCACGCGAGCCGTCGAGCTCCACGGGAACCATTCAGAGGGACGGCCGGGCGAGGAGTAGCCACAGGACCTCAGGTCATCATGTCGGGACGCACAGCTCCTGGAATGACCCCTTCGCTCTCGGGTGCGGGACAGAGTAACGTAAACACGAACTCCTATTCCTACTTATCCACTCAGCTCGCTGTCTCCTTACACTGCTTGCTTTCTTGATGCACCATTCGAGACTGAGACTCAAATGTATGGAGAGATCAACGGCGCCAACCAATCGGATCCAGCTCTGTGACTTCAATGTCCATGGCACTTGTCTCTCGTGTGGGACGTACGTGTGGCTTTGTACTGGTCGCTCACGTTAGCGTACCCGGGCCAATCACAGCCATAGTGTAGCAGTCCAAAGCTTGGGAGATGTATGCCCCAGGTGGTGCGTCGGAACTCGCGGTGGTGGTGTTTCTCCTTTATCGTTCGTACACTACTCAGACATAATCAACACCCAGCACACCACCTTTTAATTCACTGACAAACATGTGTTTTTGTCCCTTCCTCGCTTTGATCAGATGGTCCACACAGTGCAATTAAACAAACTCTGATATCCGATATACTGTTCTATTAGCACCTCCTTTCTCGAAGTTTAACATCGGATAGCTCCTTCCATTCTGCATCTCCCTCCTGTTTTTAAATCCGACACCACGCTTCCTCGCTCTTCGTTGCGGAAAGACAAGAACGGGGAAGGCGGCTCCGCCTCAATTACTAGCTCCGCGCGCGTCGACGCCCGCTCTCGGGGTTCGTGCATTTGACTCGAACGTCGCGCGTCCCATGCCCCATGGCCTCTGTCGAAGCCCCCGACAAGCGCCGGCGCAGGAAGCCGCTTCCTCCGCCGCCTCTGCTGCCGCTGGAGGCGCGTTTCAGCGATTTCCCCACGGGTTCATCCGAGTCCTCAATGGTTCCAGAGCTACCCGCGACGTTCGACCTGTCCGCCAATAGTATCGCTAGCACAGACAGCGAGATGACGAGCACCAGTAGCACAAGCACCAGTGGCTCCAGTCGAGGCGTCAAGTGGTGGAAACGCGTGACTGGCATGAGAGCAAAGAGACGACGCACAACCAGCCGAGAAGACAGACGCAGTCTCGACCAGGAGATGTATGTGAGGAGCATTCTCGAGTCCTATGCGTCGTCCATGAGCTCTAAAGACAGGTACTCTACCAGCACTCCACAGTTTTCGGTGGACGACAGCAGCAGCAATACCAGCAAGAAGAGCAGTGAACGCGTCTCCAGGAGACGCAGAGATGAGAAAGACAAGACCGACACACAGGTAGTTACTACTACTACTACTACTACTATGACTACAAATACTTCAGCTACAACTACAGATTCAGACAGGAGAGAGAGCAGGGACTCGGGTTCACCCGCGTACATGGCACACTTTACACCCAATGGAGACACAGCACAGGACGATTACCGTGTGGACATGGACAATCACACTCAGCCGCATCTTACAGCGGGAGTGCCAGGACTTAGCAGTGGCTCAAGCCCTGGGCCTTATGACGACGTCCTGGATGACGGGCCGTTCGCTCCTAGCTCCGTAAGCGACGATGAAGACAGGAACAGGAGGAGACTGCGGCGACGAATGAAGATCGAGGCCATGCGTGCGAGGTTATTGGAGAAAAATCATCATCGAGCCAGAGCACGCAAGAAAATGTGCATCTTCATCGCGTGTATTGGCGTCACGTTGACAGCATTTGTGGTGGCTGCAGTTTTGATTGCCAGAGTGGGCGTGGAGATTCAGAGCAACTCGCTGGAAAGCAGTACCAACACAACAAGCATCAATAGCATCAATAGCAGCAGCAGTGGCAGTGGCAGTGGCGGTGGCAGCGTCTTGATTGTTACTTCTGGAAGCATCGCGTCCGAGGCGGACTTGAGCCCGACAAATTCTCGAGCATCAGCTCTCGAAGGATCGTCGTCGGCTGCCGATTCTGACGATGACTCAGTGTTGTCGTCGTCGGACTCGGACGATTACAACGACTCGAGCATTTATTCCAACACGTACACGTACATCCACTGCATCCTGATGGTCCTATCGCTGTGGATGTCGCTGGTCGTTGTGATCATGCACGTGACGTTCCGCAGTTTCCGCACATATTCCCATCCGTTCGTCTTGGAGCTGAGCTGCGTGCAATGTGGCTATTGGATCACGTCGTTGCTGCGGGTGATGCTGGAGACGTCAACGCTATCTGACATGACGTATCTCTTCTTCTGTATGTTCGAGTGCTTCTTCAACTTTGCGCAGATCTCGTTCACCTGCGCCATCGCCTTCAATATGTATCGATCCGTGGTGTCCTACGCAGATGTGTTGCTGGATTCGCAGAGCGCCAAGCGTCGATACCACCGGTACACGATGAATGTGTTGCTACTCTCGGTCGTGGCTGCAGTGACGTTGGCGCTGGTTGGATACCGATCTGGAGACACGTATGATTACTACGACGAGGACGCGTCAGAGTCGGGCTCATCATCGGAAACAGAAGAGGAGCTTCTGGACGACGAGATCTTTTCCCCGTGTCTGTACCCGACCTGTCGACTCATCTTGTATGTGTACTACCCGTTGTTGGCGTTTGCCTTCAACTTTATCTTCTACGTGCGCTTCAAGCGTACAATTGGCGAATCATATCCAACCTCAGCCACCGGGCGCCTTAACAAGGTGGCGCGATCGTATCTGATCGTCTTCTTTGTCTGCTGGGGAAGTCTCATCATCCTCACAGCAATGAAAGTGGCCGACTCGTCGAATGTTCCGACCATCGCGTCCTTCGTGATGCAGTCCATTTTTGATGTGTTGGGTGTGTGTACGGCTGCAATCACCTTCACCAACTTCCATCGGTGCAGGAAGGCGTTCGATTTTGGATTGTCGCTTAAAGCCATCGACCCCAACAGTATCGAGTTCGACGATCCCGTTAACATTGTGGGTGAAGGAACGTTTGCTATTGTGCTCAAGGCGAGATGGCGACAAGGAGGATACATTGACGGCTCTGTGTCTCGGTCGATCGAGGTGGCTGTGAAGACGTTCAAACACGCGCAAATGGAGTGCTTGGAACACGTCAAGGAGGAGGCGTACTTGTCGTCTAAGCTGGTGCATCCGTGTGTTATGATGACTTACGGCTGTTATACCAGCGGCATCAATCTCTACATCGTGTACGAGTATCTTGGCGGTGGGACACTACAAGATCGGATCGATACCAACCGAAGCGCGCCGTTTTCGTACGAGCGCGGCCTGCGTTATGCTCACATGATCGCAGTGGGGATGCGCTTCCTGCACGGTCTACCTGTGCCTATTGTGCATCGTGATCTCAAGCCTCTGAATTGCATCTTCGACTCGGAGCAGGAGATGCTCAAAGTGGCGGATTTTGGCGAATCTCGTCTGCTTCGCACTCGCGACGTGGTAGCTCCACGGCCGAATTTCTTTCCGTCGGCCGATGTCACTGTGCAGATGACAACCAACATTGGTAGTGCGTGTTGGGCAGCGCCAGAGGTGCTGAAGGACGAGGCCACGTCTGAGTACTCAGTCAAGATCGATGTCTACAGCTTCGGTGTCATCTGCTGGCAGCTGTACACGTGTGCTGTGCCGTATGCAGACATCCCTGGGAGTGTGTTGGCAGTGGCTGAGGCTGTGCTGAGTGGTGTACGTCCGCCGATCCCTCGAGAGTGTCCTCGACTGTTTGCAAAAATTATGAAGCGCTGCTGGCACGATAATCCCCTGCGACGTCCGAGTTTTGAAGACATCGTGCAGTTGTTGGAGATTGAGCTCGCTGAAGTGCGACGTCGGCAATTGGCACGAGCTCATGGCAGAGGGAACGACTCGGTTATTGCTCCACCGACGCTCGATAGCAGCAACTTTGACGACACGGGGCGTACGCAAGGAACGGAGATTAGTTATAAATGAGCCTAAGAATGGAGGTGAGCTCGCCTCTCCGATAGTTTTAGGAATGTCAAGTCTGTGTGAATAAAGTTATCTTGAACTAGCATCTACTGTTCATAGGTACTTGAAGCATTTGCAAAGTAGTAGTAAAAGGTTAAACGTTAATTAACTGATCAAGGGGTACCAAGACACGTTCCCTTCCTTGGTTTTGTGTGTCTTTTCGATCCTCGTCATTGCGATCAAATGATGCCGAGTACACGTAGGCGGCTTTCATACTCCGTCCGACCAATGTAGCAGCCAATGAGGGCTCGATCTCCACCCTGGAAGGCGTGGCGGCCGTGCATCACACGTTGGTTGTCCACGACTACCATGTCACCCACCTGGAGTTTCATACAGAACTCCATCTCTGGTCTACGCAAGACTTCCAGCAGCTTGCGGTGTGCCTGGTAGAACTCACCAACCTCCTCAAAGCTCAGATGCGTCAGCGGAGCGCGATCGTAGTCGTTATGACGGAACTGCACGACGTTGCCAGCGTAGTCGACTCGGATGAGTGGCTCCATAGTGGCCAGATGCGCGTCATTGTCCACAGTGAAGTACGGAAGCGACGTCGTACTCAGCACGCGGAAAGCCTCCGGATTCTCCTTCCTTAACGTCTCCACGACATGGAACGCGTCCACATAGCGACTCTCACCGCCCTCACCAGCCTGGGCCGCGCAATTGAAGATCTGCAGTCCAGGCGGGTCACGGATGTACGTGCCGTCAGTGTGGTGCAACAGCTCCAGGTTCGTCGACGCCGTGTCGTTGTAGTCCTCGGCGTCGTTCGTGGGGTTGGTTGTCCACATGGTCCCGTAGATCGTACGTAATACGAAGCCGATCTTCTTGGAGAACTTCTCAGTGGCTTCCATCGAGGTGGGCGTGCCCGATACACGCACCAGCCCGTTAGTGTACAGATCGCGCATGAGCGGCTCGATGTTGTCTACGCATTTGTTGTAGCTGTGTGTGGGCAGCTGGAAGTCGGCGCCGGCCCAAAGCTTCTGGGTCGTCAGGCGTGGCTGACGGTAAGACTTGGGGTAGGGCTCTGTGTCCTCATCCTCCGCATTGCCACCTTCCAGGGCGTACGCGTGGTCGCGCAACCATTGCGCATCGAACTCACTGGATGTGCACGGGGTGCCACGCACAGGCGCATCCCAGTCGATGGCCAAGGCGCCGCCAGCGTTCGTGACCTCTAGCCGGTGGAATGGCGTGTCCATGGGGATGGAGGCGGTGTCGAGCTGGCGCTGGTACGTCTCCGGGTGCATGCAGTGCTTGCAGCGGCAGTGATCACGCAACCAGAGCTTGTGGAACTTGGCGGTGGCGCCATCCTCGAACGTGACGCGTACAGCTTGCTCGCTGGCCAGTTTCACCACTTTTCTGATGCGCTCGTCTTCCTGCTGTTTGTCGACCAGCGCCGACGCAAAGTTGCGTATGCCCCAGGCCCGCAACGTGCTGGAAACGGTGACATTCGAGTGCAGCAGGCTGCGCAGCGGTCGGATCGCTTGTAGACGCATGTTCGGGAGACTGGCGCTTGGTGACGACTCTACACCTTCGTGGCGAACTCGGGAGTGATGGAGCTGTCGTTTGGACTGGCACTTGAAGCTGCCAGAGACACGAAGACGCCGAGTTCTTGCCCGACCCAAACGTGGGGCGGATATCCTTAGGTGAGTGATGATTCGCAAGCTGAGACTACCATACGCAACGCTGATTGGCTCTTGGCCTGAGGATCTGATAACGTAACCGTTTTGGCAGTCGACTCCATACAGAAGGGGTCGTCTGATTAATTTGCAAAGGAAATTCACAGCGATCTCCATACTTGTCAAATATACCCCAATCCAAGTGATCGGATATACAGGGGTACATGAAGTACAAGCTACGCTTATTCAGGGGGACTTCTGTAATACCGAATGCGTTGTTACAGTAAAATTTACTGTAAATAAAAAATAAATCGCGTTGTATACAGTGAAATGTTAACACCTTGCTTACGAACGTCGTATAAGACGACATATTATTTTTGTTACGTTGTATATTACGACATTGCACGAAGGTCATTAGCAAATGGCTCGGAAAAGTTTTTTCAATACTTTAATCAAGTAACCACAAAAATATAATCTGCGAGAGGTCATTTTGCTACAAGTCAAAACCAGGCCAGGGGAAGGGGATCAGCCACGTCGTGAACAGCCACTCATTCGACATTTTGCTGGATGGTGCGCATACGGAATAGTCGACGCGAGAAGCCCGCCGTGCCGGCTGCCGCTACACACGATATTGACTTTGGCCACTTATGGCGGCAGCTTCGGGCGGCGGGGTGGAAGTCCAAGCGTCCGAGTGGCCTCCAGACTGAGTGGAGCTACTCGAGTCCTGACAACACGCACGTCTTCGTGGGGGAGAAATCAGTCGTGGACTACGCGTTCGACAGTGGCTTGCTGGAAGAGGCGGATGCTGATGCTCAAGTCCGAGATGAAGGAGGTGGGGAACTAGACCAAGCAGGAGCTGGTAGTAGTGGTGAAGAGCAACAACACGAGGGAGAAGACGTCGTTCGGCCTTCCCAGATCGACACGAGTGTCCTTCTTTCGCAGCATACCATTGATCGAATGTTCGGCACCCCAAGTGATGATGACATCGAGCTGTCGCAGACTGCAGTGAGCAGAGCATTCAATCTATCCTCAGAAAATCTACAAGACGGCGGTGCCCGCGAGGCCGCTGCTGGACTGCATTTACTTTCGGAGGCTTCTGGATTAGAGAGCGAGGGTGATGTAGACGAAGAAGAAGCCGCTGCGTCTCAACCTCGACGACGGACACTTACGCCGTTATCAGGCAAAGAGGACGTGAATGTTTTGCTGGATGGGGAGAAGCCGAGTGACTACGAGAACTACAGCTCGGGTGATAGCGACGACGACGGCATGAGTGATATTAACAGCGATTCCGGAGCCGGGATGTCCGAGGAAGATGACGACGTCCTGTCCGACAGTGACGCAGTTGAAATGGACAAGGCTTTCATTGCGGCACTACAGGTGGGCAATAACGCACTTAGCAGAACCGCTGCAACGGAGAGAGAGCAGACACTACGAGGAATGCAGTGGACGCCAGTGTCTTCGGAGTACGAGACAGATGCTGCTGCGTACCCTGGACTGGGCACCGAAGAAGCAAGGTCTGTGCCCGACCTGCTGCAATTATGGAGATCGCCAATCCTCACCTTCTTTTATTTCATGCCGAAGTCTCTGTGGGTTTCTATCGCGGCTGAAACGAACCGATATGGTCTACAGCAAGCTGGCAAGCGCGCCCGTAGCATTCAGGCACGGCAGACTGACCTTCGGCGTGAAACTATCAAGCAGATTACACGTCGTTTGAAGGCTAAGGCAGCATACTCTACACACGAGTTTCTTCACGTTGTTGGACTCCTCGTTGCACAGATGCTCTGCCCTCAAAAGAAACGATTTGGTGCGCACTGGAGTATGGTGGAAGACGGTGCTGTTCCCGCCGGTCTTTTCGGGCGGTTCATGACGCGTGACAGGTGCCAGAGTATCATGCGAGACTTGCACTTCGTAGACAACACGATTGACCACGGTAACGATAAACTCTGGAAACTTCGCCCCGTTGTTGACAAGGTCCAAGAGCGCTTTTTGCTGGGGTGGTCTCTTTCTGCTATTTTTTCGTTTGATGAGGGTATACTGCCGTCCACGTCGAAGCGGAACACGACCCGGATGTTCATGGCCGACAAGCCTCACCGCTACGGGTCCAAACTATTTATGGTCTGTGACGCGCAGACGGCATACTGCCACAGGTACGTTTAAAATTTGTATGTCGTAACTATCTACTTTGTGTTTGCCTGACAACAGTGAATGTCGTAACTATCTAGGCTCGAAGTTTATGTGGGTAAGCGTGCATCTGCTGGTGGACCTGACACCTCAGTTGACTTTAAGACTGGAGCTGCAGCCGTGGTCCGGAATTTGAAGATTGTTCTCGCCCAGTCTCGTCACAAGTGGCATACCGTCGTAATCGATCGCTACTACTCGTCCGTGCTCCTTGCGATTGAGCTCCTGAGTATGAAGGTGTATGTTATTGGCACGATCATGACTAACCGGCTTGGATTCAACCCGAATCTCAGGGCTACGAGCAAGACACGCCCAGTGAGCATACCCCACGGTACATTCTCGTTCTCTCGCTCTATCGCCATCCCGACCATGATTTCCTGTGTTTGGTGGGACCGGAAGCCCGTCTATTATCTCTGTACGGGCTCCATTATGGCGGCGTCGACAATTGAGCGAAAAAAAAACGTATCGGTGCGGTTCGAGTGCCGTGTTCCTCTGCTGTAAATGACTACCAGAACTGGATGAGCGGAGTTGATGTCCACGATCAACTCCGTCTCCAGTCGTATTCACTGCAAATGTCGACGAGGTTCACCAAATATTATAAGAGCCTATTCTTAGGTTTGCTGGACATGGTCATGGTAAATGCGTATCTTACGCACAAAGAGGGGGCCAAGATCAAGAAGATGGCTGCTATGAAGCGCTCAGAGTGGTTTTGCGTCCTTCAAAATCAACTTCTCCAACTCAAAGCCGAAGATTTTGCTGGAGTGGAGGCAACACCGCCTCCTGCGAGCCAAAAGCGCCAGCGCACCCCAGTACGCCTCACGCACGCGCTGCAGCAGTCTGAATATTGAATTACCGTTACTGGGGTCCAGAAACGCCGGCAGAGATCGTGCAAGGTCTGCGCGCTCTTGCGTACTGAAAAGAAGAAGTCCTTCGCAACAACGTTCTTTTGCGAACGCTGCTCCGTTGATAATGCGAAATGCTGGTTGTGCAACCGTATTCGACGGGAATACAAGGGCGTTGCGAAGACATGCTATGATATCTGGCATGATGACTTCGACGCCGGGCAAGCTATCCCACCAAACTTAGGGAAGCGCATTGTGCTCCGTCGGCCCGGCCAGAAAGCTGGCCAAAGAAAGAAGACGCGACGGGAACTTCGACTTGGGCACGATGCTGGCAGCGACGACGGCAACGGTGGTGACAACGAGAATGGTAGTGATGACGAGTGAGCTTGGTTGCGTGTCAGTTGATTAGTGATTTGTTTCAAATACACAGCTTCTTGAACCATCGTACCTTCGTCCTTGCGTTTCTTGATTTAAGTGGACTGCCTGTGAAGCAATTTAGCCATCTGTTGACTGCACTTGCAGTCAGTTACGACATTGAGCAGGCAATATTGTCGCTGAATCCCGTCAGAGTTACGACATTGAAAGAAAAACCTGTTGAAAATTAATGCACCTAACCTCACGTCAAAAAGTGCACCCTACGTAGTAACATTGATATACCGTATCTTACGACATGCGCTTACGCGTTCTGGGCAAGTACCGTCCGGACGCAAGGTGTTAAGACAAACAGATAAACGGATCAGAATTGCACTGGACAATCGATTATGTCCGGCATTTTTTTCGCCAGGTCAATAAAGTAGTAGTGCTATGGTAATTCTTCGTTTTCCCTTTTTGACATTAGGTCGCATAACCAGTTGTATTAGAATTTGCGAGCTACATTTTGGGGCATAAATGTGTGTGCACAAATCGAACACTCGTGTTTCTTCTAGAAGATCGCCGAAGATCGTTTAATAATTGCAGCCCCGTTCCTACCATGCTGTTTTGGCCTTCGAACTAAACTACTTTTAACTAGTAACCCGACAGTTGCGTATCGTCTGAGTCGCAGATGAAATCGTCGTGGCCTGGAAGGTCGTCAAGCGTCATGCTGTGGCGCAGTCTCTTTCGGCTTCGGTACTTGTCCTGCGACAGACGTCGTTTTGTTTTAATGGTGTTGCCAATAGCACGTAGTCTGTTCTCCCGCTGTGCGTAGGCCTCACCGTTGGCATCTCGCAGTGGGTTTGACTCAATGTGGAAGTTGGTCAAACTCACGCAAACTTGGAAAATATCGTCGTACAAGTCCTCGCTCCAGCGGTACTTGTCCGCGACAATGCGCCACAAACTGCAGAGCCTCCCAAAGAAGTTTTCAACGAGGACTCGGTCACTAGAGATGTTTTCATTTCGGCGCTGAATCTCGGGCGGGAGGTTCGAGCCTTTAGTCGGGTGGATACAGCGAAGGTGGGCTTCCAGCCCCTGGTAACCTTTATCGGTGAGTACTGCCCATTCACTGGGAAATTCCTCGCGCAACGGGCCCTCGTCCGGAATTGTTTTGTCGGTCTCCGACTTCACGCGCATGCTCGAGTGGAACTCCATGTTATTCCGGAAGATCGAAATGTCGGGCGTGTTGCCGCGCTCGTGCTGGCTGCAGTTGATAGCGAAGCCTTTTAGGGGTTTACAGACACCTCTACCTTGAGGCCGTACAATTTGTGCTTAGCACTATAGTACGGCATCACTTCGTGCCATGTTTCCAGCAGGTCGATTGGCCTGTTGGAAAGTGACGTCCGTCGCATATAACGCACACGGGTAGTGACTAAAGGTGTTTCCGGAAGTCACCAGCCGCCGCATGTTGGTCTCTACCGCTTTTCCTCGCACCCACTCATCGTAAATGCGCGGCGCAAGTACACGGCAAAACGACGTTATCGTCTTGATAAACGTCGGGGTTTTGATCCGAAAAACGTGAGCATTCATATCCCAGGTGCCTCCGTGTTTGAGCACAGCTACTGTCATGAAGAGAACGTCCTTTC